TTATCTTCTTCTGAAATACATAGTTTTTTTCTTGCAAGTCTTTTCAGAGACCAATTTCTCCTCTGTTCCATCTTTCCAGGGTACAAAGATTCAGAAGCTTCCTTTTTAGTCAAATTCATAATGTTTTGAATCACTCTTCTGATTTCTCTCCTCTTGATTTTCAAGCCCCCTACAGTAGCCGTGTCATCCCTCAACATTAGACCATCTTGAAATTTCTTCTGCAAGAGTAATTAGCCCACTCTCTTAATCTTAACTCAGGCAAAGTCTCTGGATACAAACAAAATACAGACAAACTTTCTTTCTTTCTTTCTTTCTTTCTTTCTTTCTTTCTTTCTTTCTTTCTTTCTAATATATATTTTTAGGGAAGGGTCTACAGGGTGTTCAGGGTCTCACTACTAGATTGGACTCATAGTGACCTGCCTGTTTACAGCCTCCCAAGAGCTGGGATTACAGGCGCGTACCACCATGCCCAATCTTAATTGCTGTCTCAGCGTACCCCATGGCAGGGCTGGCACAGTAGGCCCAGGGATCGAGCCCCCAGCCCCTGCGCCTGCTTTCAGGCACTTCAATCTGCTGAGCTATTTGGCCGGCTCTCAGACAAACTTTCTGCCAAAACATAAAACACATTGTCTGAAGTCCAACAGCTAGTGCAGTCCTTCCCAGCAAAACCTCCCAAGCTTGGTCTTTACTAGCAGGATTTTTATCAGCCTTCTGGTCTTCTAAGTTCTGACCAGAATCTCCCATACAATATATCCCTAGGTGTTCCACTCTAGGCATCTCTGAACCTTTCAAAATCCCTCCCAAAAGTTGTTCTCAAAGGCTCCTGAACCACACATGGTTAGGTATAGTCACAGCAATGACCCTAGTTTTGGTACCAAATTGTGTTTTAGTTCCTTCTCTCTCATTGCTGAGATAAAATATCTAACATCCAAAGGAGGGAAGGTTTATTTAGCTCACAGTTTTTGGAGGCTTCAGTCCCTAGTTGTCTAGCTCCAAGGTAGGGTGGCACTGCAGAGAAGAAACAGTTCAACTGTATCTACTGCACAGCAAGCAGAAGGTATCAAAGCAAGCCAGAGATGACCACAGCTCTTTCTATCCCTTATATCTTAGCCACACTACTTAGGGAAGGTAGCACTCACACCCTTAATGCTAGTATCCTTGATCCTAGTGTTGCGCCATGAATTAATCCCAGTGTCACAAATTCTATATGCAGACATCTCTGAAAAAGCCCCACCCATGACTGCATAAGGATGGTGGGGAGCATCTAGACACAGCCATCATAGAGAGATATGGTCAAAGGGCATGAAGTTTCAGTTAGACAAGAAGAGTGGGTCTTCAAGATCTCCTGTACATCACAGTGACCATGGTTAATAATAATATATATCTAAACTGCTAAAAGATTAGATTTTAAATGTTCTCACTACAAAAAGATGTGTGTGATGTGATGGACTTCAAGTCAGCTTGGTATCACCATCCCCAAATATATCAAACCATCATAATGTATGCCATAAATATACACAATTATTGTTTGCCAATTTAAAACAAGTATTTAAAATTTAAAACTAACGGACACTACGACCAACAGGGATTTAGTCCTCATAAGGCTGCTCCAACACCATGAACCAGTGTGTAATCCCGAAGCAACAATGAACAAGTGCAACAATGTGCTCTGCTCCTTTGTATCAGCATCAAGACACCACCAAGCCCGTGGAAACTTAAGTCCTGTTCCTGCTGGGTCCATTGCCTATCCTACCCAGCCACAGCCCGATCTGGGTCAGATCCTGAGAGAGGCACAGTGGGATTGATCTACTTGGTCTAACTGCAGATTTAACATCCCTAACCACTGAATGGACCAACTGTGGGTCAAGCAGAAAAGGCCTTGCCCACTTCCACTGTGCTTTGTGAAACTAGAGAACACAAAGACAGAGCATCCATGGGGAGTCCTGGGGAGTGACCCCCACCTGGAAGTTCATTCAGTGTGCTGTGGTCAGGGCTCAAGTGTCAACTGCTTCTGGCTATGGGTAGATCCCAGCCCTGGCCTCACTTGCAGGAAGCTCTGCTGGGTCTGTAGGTCTCCTGTATTTAACATGTATCCCAGTCTTTAGTCTCACTGGTAGTTTTATGCTGGTACTTTTCCTCTAGTTCTGTTCTTTTTGATATTAGAGTTGCTTTATAAGGTTAATTTTGGTTGTTGTTTTGAAGTATTGGTGATCGAACCTTGCAACACTCTATCATTGAGCTACATTACCAGCTCTCTTTTAAAATATTTTAGTTTGAGAAAGGGCCTTGACAGTTTTCCCAGGCTGGCCTTGAATTTGCAATCTTCTTGTCTCAGCCTCTCAAGCAGCTGAATTTATAGGTGTGCAACACCACGCCTGGAGCTCTTAAAAAGTTTTGAAATAAACTTGGAACACCCCAAATCTAAGCTCAAATTAAACTATGAAAATATCCCAAAATGCAAATTCAAGTTTGACTGGCTCAGAAGTTATGAGTCAGAGGAGTGTCATTTAATCCTCACCTGGACATGGCTCAAGGAACATATGCAGATTACAGCAGGGGAGGGTAGGCTTAGAGAGGTCTACTACTCTTTGCTGACTTAGCAGTATCTGATGAGCAAACAGCCTACATGCATTTTCTTACAAGAAATTCATGCAATGGTCAAGTGTCTCTAAACTAACCATTGAATGGAGGCAGTGCTGAGCACTCACTGCCTTCTAATTGGGGGTGCTTTGTGTTTGGCATAGTGATTGCTGTGAAAAGCAAGGTGTCCTGTGGCAGCATCCATTGGCCAGTAGTGTCCTCTGCCTTCCCATGTTGACACGAGTCCCAGGGGGCCAAATCCGGGGTTTCAGCTGAGCAGTGATGGTAAAAGGAAGCACAAAAGCAGATGTCCCAGCCTCTTCCCTATTCCTCTCAGTGCATGTCAGCCTGAGCTTGGTGTCACCAAGAGCTCTGCTCCTAGCCCAGCTCTTACCCAACCCGCACAGAAACACCTCACCTTCCAGATCAGTCTTAATCCTTGTGATCTGCAAATCACCTTTGTTTTTGAACAGATTGTCTCTAGACTTTCCTATAAGGAAATCTATGAGTCCCCAACTCACATCTTCATCTTCCCATTTCTGTTGGCCTCTTTTCATAATGGCACCAATTTACCCTGCAAGATCCTTACAGGGACTCAAGAACATCCAACATGGGTTCATACTCAAAAATCACTTCCTATGAAGACTGTCATCCTGAAAGTCAGTGGTGAGGGCCCGCTGCCAGCTGAGTAACACAACTGCCCTCAGTCTGCCATGCACCCAGGAAACAGGGTCATCCAAAGAAGGGCATAAACTCAAGCCACCAAGAACTTCAGAACAGCAAATCCAACCCTTCTGGCCTGTCCATTCCAACAACAAGAAGACACAATTTTTTTTTTTTTTTTTTTGCAGAACCGGGGATTGAACTCAGACCCTTGCACTTGCCAGGGAAGTGTTTATTACACTGAGCCATCTCCCCGGCCCCAAATTGTTGTTTTTTTAAAAAATGTATTTGGTCAGGGTGTCACTATACAGCTCAGACTCATAGTGGTCCTCTGTTTTCAGCCTTCCCACTGCTAGGATTACAGGTGTGCGCCACCATGCCCAGTCTCAGTGGTTGGGTCAGCATGCCCTCCCCAGGTGGCAGAGCCAGTGTGGCATGTGGTGTGCCAGGAATAGAATCTTGGGTCCCTGTGCTTGCCTAAGCAGGTACTTAATTGCTGCGCTATCTTGCTGGCCCTTCAAATTGTTGTCTTATTCCAAATAGATGGGAATACTCTAAGTAGTTCTGAAAGTGGCTATTTAAAGTTTAGTACTTCTTTGAAATAGCCTGACACTGACTGAGACTTGAAAATGTTATATATACTTTAGGAAGTTAAAATTGCCAGTGTAACAGTGGAAATCCCAGTGCCACATCTTGCAGATGAGGGAGAGCAAGTAGATCTAAGCAAAGAATCGTGGCATTAGTCTCTCTGAATCAGCCACACAGGGCAGGCAGGCTGGATTATGAATCTAACAGGAGGAAAGAGTGAGTGTCACGTACATCAGGCACATCTGCTGAGGTCTGGAGGAACTGCTGGACAGCTGCAATACAACACCCACACAAGGAGAGGCACAGCTGGCTTCCTGGTGCCTGTCTCAGGTGAGGCCTGCTGCATAGCCCTGGGGGTTACCACAAGGAACCATGGGGCCATGCCAGGTTTAGCCAAGCACCCACTCCCTGCCTGTGCACTACAAAGACCCTCAGGCACTCCACCATGTCTCTGCAGTATGGTGAGGGAGGGGGTGGGCAAGAGTTGATGGTCTGAGCCCCACTCTGACTTTCCACTCCTTGTCCAGGGCTGTTCTGACCTCTTTCCTGCCAGGAACCAGGGACCCTTGGGCAAACATAACAAGGAATGGAACATATGCAGCTAGACATGTCCTCACATGTAAAGTCCCTTAATTAAAAGATGAAGCTAAATATACATGGTCATCCCCTGATGTCCATGGGGATACATTCCAGGACCCTCCAACACAACCAGACCAATGGATGCTCAAGTTCCTTACATCAAATGTATAGTATTTATTTACACAGGTCCTATAGACATTCTCCTATATACTTTAAGTCATCTCTAGATGACAACAATACAAAATACAATGTAACTGCCATGTAAATAGCTGTTATGCTATACTACTTGGGGAATAATTACAAATAAAAGACCAGTACATGCTCAGAACAAACCCTTTTTTCAATTTTTTGTTTGTTTTTGGGTGATGAATCTAGAGCCTCATGTGTAGTAGGCTCTACCACTGAGCTATATACCCCCAACCTCTCATATATTTTTGATCTAATATTAGTTGAATCTTTGAATGTAGAACTTATGGATATGCATAGCCAACTATGTATAATATGTATATAAGAATATAGTTCCTACTTGTGTGTATTACTAGTAAGTTCAAGTAGCTGTCCTTCTGAGTGTGTGTCAGGGGGGCACCAACCTCCACCAGCCTCCAGGCCTCGCTGATGATTGCGTACTGCAGGCGGTTTAGGGCAAAGCCATCGATCTCCCTCAGGAGTCGCACGGGGGACTGTCCGATCTTCTTCATCAGGGCGTGGGTTTTGTCCATCGTGGCTGGGGCTGTCTCAGGGTGAGGGATCAGCTCTACCAGTGGGACATAATATGGTGGGTTCACCTGAGGGAGGGAGAGACAGAAGAGACGTCAAGGAGGTAGCTTGCAGTGTGGGGTGTTGCTCTGTCTCAAGATCAGTGAGGCAGGCACACCTTTAAACAACTCTTAGATACAGCATACAATGACAAGGCACTGGAGAAATAAAAGCCTTTACAAAGGACACAGAGAAGAGAGTTAGAGGTTTGTGAAATTGTGGTTTATTAGAAGAAAAGCATAGCAAGGTTGTGCTCCCATCTTTTATGCTTATGGCAAATCCCCTGGCTGCTCCAGAAGAGGTCTCTGCAAGCAGTCATCTCATTGTCACAGCTTCTCCCACCCTCCCTCTCTCTAGCATCTGGCCTTCTTCCACTCCAGTATGAAGACGATCAGCTTCTCTCAAAACTTGGTATTTCTTTTCTTCCTCCATGTTGCACCTCAAATGTCTGCCTCCCAGCCTAGCTTCTCTGCTTAGCTCTGGCAGTCAGCAGGCCTAGCAGCCTTCTATTGGCAGAGGGAGACTGTCTTCAGGGGACCCAAGGGACACACTGGCCCAATCCAGGACTTAGCCTTCAGCTCTGGTTTTCTTGGTTCATTTTGAGAAACTGTCTTTGTTGATTCCCCACTGAGAATGAGCAAACTTTCCAGCTCACCACTGAGCCCAGTGGACCACAGCAACCTGGTCCCTACAAGGATGGGAAGGACAGCCGTGGATGGGGTGAGGGAGCCTGATATTTAACAAGAATGAAGGCTCAGTTCAGGAAAATGAAGCATTCTGGAGTTGGATGGTAGAAGTGGCTGCACAGCAATGTGACAGTATATAATGCATCAGACCACACACTTCAAGTGGTAAGCTTCATGTCATGTATATTTTATAATTAAAAATAAAAAATAAATTAAAACCAGGTCTCTGATCATATTCCTTCCAACTCAAAATTCTGTAGTAATTGCCCACCTCCCACTATAAGAGCCACAGCTAACTAGAACACTTGGGGCTCTTAGGGATTTGGCCCTTTGCACCCTGTGAAATGGGCCTCAACCCATACTTTGTGTCCCTTTACATAATCTGAAAGCTACTGACAAGGGGCTTTAAGGTGTCTCCAGCTGGGTTGGTGTCACTCTGGTCAGAACACAATGGCCTCTGACTGATGAGGTCAATCCCTGTTCCAGGTTCAATGGTGATGGTGGCTTTTTGTTTCTCACAATAGAGAGATGACACAGTTGAAGGGCTCCTGCTTGACAGGCTAAAGGACAGACAGGCTTGCTGGAACACCTGGGCCCTTCAGCAAAGAGACACGCCCTCCAGAAATGGGAAGAGACACATGCCCAGGAAAGGAGGCACTTTCTGAACTGTTCCAGGAGGTGGTCTGTGGCTCTGCCTGAGTAGCTGCATGTGGCTGGAGGCAGAGAAGGCTATGGCTGCCAGGCTCTGTAGGAATCAGGAGGGACCAGCACAAGGGAAGCATTCTTTGTCCTCTCGGGGATCTGAAACGGAGCCCACGCATGTGATTGCAGATAGCACAGCGCACCAACAGAGGCTTCCTTCACCCTCTTACTGCAGATGGAACCAGCCAGCCCCACAGGGAAGTGGCTGGCCCTCCCAGGAGGCGGCTGGGCCATTGACCATTCATTCACACAGTATGGGGGTGGGGCAGGTCCTCTTGCACTTCCCAGGGCTAAGCACAGGCTAGAGACACTGGGTGGAGAATACTGAATGCTCTATATTTTGAGACTTTCGGCAGCCAGTTTTCCTATCCCACAAAGACAGCTGAAAGGAACCCTCTGAACAGCAATAGCACAGGCTTGGACCAGGCAGCAACATGCAGATGCACAAGGAGCAGACAGACGCACACCCATCCATCCCCAGGGACAGCAAGTCCGGCCGTAAAACATCTAAGTCACCACCAACACCAGGCTGAATGTCCTCCATGTCAGACAGGAGGGCGAGTCAGAAAAAGTCCAAGTGAGGGGCAGGCAGCAGGGATCCTCTGGGCGACAAATGGAGGACACAGACCTGATCTAGTTCCAGGCTGTGCTGATATACAGCAGTCCCTAGGAATGTATGCATCTGCCTGGGCTCGTCCTCACAGGCAGGACTGCCCTCTCATCAATGAGACCCCTGTGAGCATCCCTGGACCACTGTGCTCCACACACTGAGACAAGCAGGGAAGAGAAGGGAAAGCTTGAGAAAGTGTGGTATCAGGAGAACTTTTCACTTCTCTGACCAGTGGCTGCTATTGGTTCTAAACACAGGTTACAACTGAATGCAACTTTGAGACAATTCTGACCAACATACACCATGGCCACACTGTCAACTCTAAGCTCTCCACGTGGTAATTCCAGAGACAAGGAAGATAAGGAAAGTTACCACAAGAGGCACTTAAGAGGGAGAATGTCCAGGACAGAAAAAATGGGCACATGAATACCCTCTACCAGATCCTCCTGGCAGTATCCACAGCCACTTTTGCTGGCTTCAGCCTAGGAAGCTGCAATAAGGCCCCATGTGAACTACTCTGGAGCAGACAACACACACCCACCAGACGCTGCTTTCTGCTTGCTCTCAGGTGTGGAGATGTCCAGAAATCCTGCCCCTGCCCCTGTGAGAGGTGCCTGAGAAAACATGTGGGTGTCACAACATGCCGGTAAGAGGCTTCCCTGGGCAGGCAGGAGTGGAGACTGCAATCTTTTGCAATTGCTTAATATCTGCTTTGTCAGGGCCCTTCAGGGGCATGAGCAAACTTCCTTTTTCCTTTATCCTACTTCCTAATCAGGCAAAGATCACAGAGGGCTGAAGAGCTGAGGCTGAGAGCTGAGTGCTCAGCTCTCCACCCTGGCCTAGGAGGCTGAGGAAGTTTCTGGGAGCCTCCAAGGTTAGCAGTGGTTCTTGATTATTAGGACCACCTGTCTACTTTATTCAAGATGGCTTTCTCCTGGACTCCAGAGGTTGGTGGAATGATCAGTTCAAATACAGAAAAAAATACAAGAGTACACGAGAGACAAAAAACAAGCTATATGATGCTTTAGTTACCAACTGGTTTTGTTTTAAATACTTTATAAAAAAAAAAACAAGCATTTAATTTTTAAAATAAGGGTGAGGCTTACTAAATAGTTCCAGGATGGGCCAAGGAGTGGAGTTAGGGGCATCATTTGAGTAATTTTCCTGCTGGTTGGGACAGAACAGAGTGAGTCTGGAGTTGTCTTGCCCATGAGGTACTTTAAGGAACAGATGTGGAGATAATCTTGTTAAAGAACCCAAGAGGTAGTTTTTGAACAATGTGATAATTTCTGAATAGCTTTAAAAATTAACTTAGAAGCAAATCATTGATTAAAAACTGTCCCTCCTGCTTCAGCCACTGTTGCACATCTGGGGACATCAGTGTTCCCCTCCTGCTACCTTCCCAAGCACTGTCTCCACCATAGTGCTGCTGCTCTGTACCTGAGCTGGTCCCAACTCTTCAGAGTCACTCAGAATTCTTCATAATTCAGCTATAAATTGAGCATCACTAGGCTGAAAATCCAAAATGTCCCAGAAATCTTAAACTTTTAGGCACTGACAGTGTTAAAAAAAAATTGGGGGGGAGTTCGGTTACATTATTTTGAATTTTTGATTTTTTGAATTAGACATGCTACCTGGTAAAGTCCATCTAAATACTATGAAATCCAACTGCCTACCCTAAATCTGAAACACCCCTATGTCCAAGCATTTTGGATGAGGGGTGCTCAACCTAAATTCCCAAGCCCTCCAGACTACCCCTGTGCTGCTTCCCAAGTGCACCTCTTCCCAGAGGTGCTGTCTCCTAAGCACACTGCAGCCTGTGCACATTCTTGGCTTCAGTTTTGCTTATGCCCTTTCCTAACTCCATATACTCAGAGCCCAGCCAGGCTAGCACCACTCCACCAGGTGGCTTTTCCCCCACTTCACCCTGCAACCCTCTCATGGGGAGGGAGTCTCCCCAGTTAATTCTAGAGGACAGGAAAAGGGAACAGTGCCTGGAAGTCAAATCTCATGAGTCAGAATCTCAGAAGGACCCAGAACCTGATTGTTAACAAAAGTGATCCTATTCTGAATTGGGTTTGGTGACATAGGACAAGTGATATACCTATAAAATCCTTTTGGGCTGGGGAGATAGCTCAGTAGAATAAGCACTTGCCTGGCAAACACAAGGGCCTGAGTTCAATCCTTGGCTCCGAAAAAAAATTTTTAAAAATCCTCCTTTATGTATACACTATTAAGGTAGCACCTTTACCTTGGTGGTAGAATTATTTATTTAGTCATCAGCCTCCTCAGCTACATGATGAATTACTTGAGGATGTGTTAGCTACACAGACAAAAAACCCAAAGAATTTTATAGTCTTTCTAAAAATGCTGATATTATCTTGATAAAGCAATTCAAAATACAGGATTTACTATTGACACCCAAAACTAGAGTGATATAAACTAAACTCCCAAGTTCATAAAAATTGCTTTGTTTTGTTCTTTATTGTATCAGGAATTGAATTCAGAACTTGTGCTGTGTAAAAATTGTTTTTGAAACAGTTTCTGCTCTAATTCCAGGCTCAAATGATCCTCACGCCTCAGTCTCCTAAATAGCTGCACTCACCAGCACTCTCTACCACTCTGCCTCCGTAGGGTTAAAATACTCACTGGATGAGCCACAATGCACTGTTTCACATGTGTCAAACCGGCAAAGAGTTTGGAAGGCAAGAGGCAAGAGCTTGAACTGCTTAAGATGACTGTGTCATCCACAATGCGATCTAGCTGAGCAAAGATCTTCTTCTTCAGTTCTAGATTTTCTGGAACACATTCCTGGAAAAAAAAACCAAACAACATTTAAAGAATAACTCATGATTTCTGAGCACAGCAAGGCCCCCAAGCAGGGCAGTGCATGTTCGCTGCACTCCTAAGAGGATCCAGCTTGAAAACCATGGTTCAGGGGCTGGCCAGATAGCTTAGCAGACTAAAACACCTGCTTAGGCAGAGCCCAGAGGATGGGGTTCAATCCCCAGAGAGCCGTGCTGGCTCCACCCCTAGAGCATGCTGAGACAGCAATTGAGAAGGTGTGGTGGAGCATGCCTACAATCTCAGTGCTTGGGAGGGTGAACACAGGAGAATCACTACAAGTCTGCTCTATGTAGTGAGACCCTGTAGACCTTGTACTAAATATATTTAAAAAAAAAATCATGGTTCATTACATACTACCCCAACGTGAACACTTTGGCATTTGAGAAAATAGCTGAAACAAGGAGACCTCCTTGACCTTTTTTCACCCCTCTCTGAAGCCAACTGTCAAACAAGTTCTCTGCCCAACCCCAAAGTGGGTCATGAGACCCTAACATGAGAGGTTAGGAGTGGGGTGGGGATAGAGAAATAAATTTGGATTAATTACTGCAGATAACAAAAAAAAGAGCATCCTTGTCTCTGAAGGCACAGGGTCAGAGGGAAGAATCCAAACGCACCCATTGCTACTCCCCCATCTCATGACCACTTCATCCTTGTGCAATCAAACCTCGTGTATGTGCCCACTCTTCACTGAGCCTGAACATCAAGGACAGGCTTAGGGTTTTTATTTCTGCAAGTTCCATATCTTGTAAAATTTCTTCTAAAAAACTGTACACTTTTTTCTGTTTTTTTATAGGGACCTCAACCTTGAACCCCAGAGTGTATACAATGTTTCTTCCCTATGAAAAGCACCAGTGAAGTTAAAGAATGGAAAAAGCCACTAAACACATGGGAAATCTTGAGTCCTCTGGAAAGAGAGTGATCAGTAGTAATACTTTCTACTTTTGCATAGGGCTGAAAATTATCATTAAGAGCTTGCTGGGCGACTGGGGTGCAGCCCAGTGGTAGGGCATCTGCCTAGCACATGCAAGGTCTGGCATCACAAATAAGTAAAAACCTAAGTAAATAAAGACATGAAATCTGCCAACTGAAAATTATCACCATAGTAAAGTGCCAGCTATGTTGGGGCAGATTCTACACAGAACCCGCAGCAGCAGCCTGAGCAAACTACTACAAACCTCAATTGCCGTCATACTTCTCCTGTATTCTGTCTGTTCTGAACAACAGATCTACTGGTCTCTAAGAAAAAAAGCTCATCTTTATGAAATAAAGATATAACATTACCAAAAGGTTGTCTGAGAATCCATCTCTAATTGGGAGTCCTGTTGAAAACGACCTTTCTTCGTTTCTAGTCATTGAAAATTACTTTAATAGGGGTTGGGTGGAGATAGAGAAATAAATTTGGGTTAATTATTGCAGATAACAACTGCTCTGAAATTCTAATTACAGAGCTGGATGGGAGAGAGATGACAGCCTCATGCAGCCAGTGCAGGCCCACAGGAGGTGTGGTCCAGCCCACGCCAGGGTAGGTGGACCCCATCCCAATATGGATGCCAACAGACGGGTGGATGTTCATGTGACTCCAAGGTCTCAGAAGCACTAGCGTCACCCTGCTGTTCCTGCCACCTATACCTCTGAGGATCATACCAGAGTGGAGTCCCAGCTCACCTGGGGACAACATGGGTCAGAGGGGAGATAGCCTGAACTCTCGCCATTCCCTGACTGATGAGTCAGTTGGGTGCTTTCCTAAAAATGTAATTTTTTGGGACCCTACCCCAAACCTACATGGGATGGTGGGGGAGCTAGGCATCAGCATTTTTAGCAAGCATCTTGTTGACTCTCAAGCTTGGGAAACAGAATTCTAAGCTATGGATCCAATGTGAATTCTCACTACCCTTGGGAAAAAAAAATAGGTGCTCCCAACATTTGGTGCCACCAATGCACCCTACAGGATCTTCTCTCCACTGCCATGTCAGGGTGCCTCCCCCACCACGTACACCCTGAGAGGAAACGGAGGCCTACTGCCTTCATGGCCACTTCTTGGCATCTCACCACCTGGACAATTTCCCTGAAGTGTTAAATTTACATATCATGTGGGGTAGTAAAAATAATTAGAAGTATGCAACAATAGAAATTTAGTGGGGGTCAGGGAGATGGCTCAGTGGAATAAGCGTTTGCCTGGCAAGCGCAAGGGCCTGAGTTCAATCCCTGGATCCGCCAAAAAAAAAAAAAAAAAATTTAGTGTTGAAATACAACTATAAGTTGTATCCAAATCAATCCTCAAAACTAAAGAAAATCTTTCAAAGTTTGATTTAACCATATCTAATAGCTCATACTACTATATTGTCTAACATATTGAAACCAATTATGTGGATACCGCACATAAGAATTTACTTTATATCATCTGTATGATTTTTTAAAAATATTTATTCAAAGAGGAGGTAGTCAATATCATGTTTCTGTAGATTTTCAAAACTATAATCAAGCCACATGAAATTGTATTAAGAACAAAAGGTCACATAAGCACATTTCAAAGACAAGAAAAAAGTGGAGTCATTTAAGAACTGTAAAGCCCTTTGTGTTAAATTCTCTTATCAAGCGGGGAAAAAGAGCTACAGTAGCTGGCTGGACATATTGAGTCATTCCTGGATCAGTTAAGTTTGCAAGTTGGGTTAAGTTTAAATGGAGCCTTGTAGCCATGCCAGGGTCTAAGAACGATGTAGATCGCGTGTGAGCTAATGAAAGGGCCCTGGTGAATGGCCTCATTGTGAAGTTGTCATGCAGATTCTCCCCTGAAATTCTATGCCTTTCTTCAGATCGTCTGATTATCAAAGAGGCAAGAAAATTTGAACCAGAGGAAATCCAAACCTATTAGAATTATGTAAGAGTTTGCAGTAGTACTTTGGCTTGCAGTTTGCTTGTTCCTATTGCTGTTTTTAAGGGTAACCCACTTGTGTGGGATGTTTCAGGCCAGGGCTGTCACTCCCCTGTCCACACCACACCTTCAGGCCATTCCTTCCTTTTCACTCAGGCACCCTGCTTGCAATCCAGAACTGCATCCCTGGCTGGCAACATACCACTCAGTGTGGAGAGTGTGCTCTGCCCCTAAGGCCTGAGAGAAAGGCCAGGAAGAACAACAGACACAAGGACTGGAGCCCAACACAGCTCTGGCTCTCTGAAAATTCACCTGCCTGTCTTCTCAGCTCAACCCTGTCATTTAGGTGCCTTTGCCTGAGAAAGCCACCATGTGTGTGAAGTGTTGCTAATTACTACTGCAGGCAGCAATCTGCCTGCCTTCACCTCCTTAGACTTCAACAGTGTCTCTCAAAGCACTGGTGTTTGCTCACCTGCTTACATTTTGTTTGAGGGCAAAAGATGCAACATATGGAACCACCATAGGCATGCCCAGGTTCTGACAAGCAAATCAAAATTCTGGGAAGTAAAGCACAATAAAATTTTCCCAGTGTTAACAGTGTTTAAAAAGAAGCTCCTCCAGCTTACCCTTTCAGGCTCAGCCAGAAGCAGCAGGTGAGGCTCAATTTCAACACATTCCCTTTCTCTTCCCTTCAGCAGATGAGAAGCTGATGCTATTACAGGTGTAACCATTAATTCTAACTTTTTAAAAGTAAGTCATGAATAAATGTCTGTGTTTTATTGAAAGTACCCAGGCAGTTTAATTCACAAGTTGTAAAGCAGTGTAGTCATGGCAAGCTGGACTACTGATTTGCAAGTTAACAACACTTTGCAAGTTTACATGTTTGCTATGCAGTAGATATTTTCCAAAAATGTATGAAATAAATGATAAAAAGAAAATGGTATTGAGTCCCACCATCTATCTAGGCATTTAAAATAAGCATCCTGTCACTAGAAAATCTATATTCTCTGGTGCAAAATATCTGGACATTATCTTTCGTGTGCTTTCCAGAAAGAAAGCACAAATTGGAAGACTTCAGTACTTAAGGAATCAAAGCGCAAAGAAGTTCTAGTGGCCAATTTTAAAGGGGGAGAAAGACATGGTGGGAAGGTCAGGAGAGCTACAGGCCTGCTGAACCATGAGGGAAATTCACTCTCAGGGAGGATGAAAGCAATCTGTATCACAGCCTCCATTAGCCTAATCTCTGTAACAATCTGTCTAGTTAGCACTGTGGGTTCCTTTTCACTGTTTCTCCTAAGAGCACAATCTAACAATCTATCAGATTGACAGACTTGCTAGGACCATACTTCTCCAGAGGTGGACATAAAGTAGGGAGCAGGGTGGGGAGAAAGCAGAAAAAGGGGCTGTGTTGGTTCAGAAGAAAGAGTTTAATGTGTTAAGAAAAAAAGAAAAGGAGCAGGTATATTAGTTTTCAACATCACAGGTAATCAGTGGCACTATACCGTAACTGAGGGATCATTTTTTAATTTAAAAATCAAATTTTAAAAATGTAAAACCTATTTTAAATACTAAAGATATCTCTACAGTTATCCAGATTAAATTACACCCAATCACGGGAGACCTTTCCAAAGTGAAGATCAGTGCAGAGTGTATTGAGGAGCTGATATCCTGGGACTTAGGTTCCACCTCAGGGATTGCTGCTGTTGGCCTTCGAGAGCAGTCCTTTCTTGGTGACCCAAGGGATCCCAGGGGACAGCATGTAAAGATGTTGATGCCACCTGCTTAGGTGACTATCCCACAGTATTATCCTCATTCCAGTGATATTCTAGGATATCATCCTCATTCCAAGGATATGCTAGTTTCTTTTATGAAATCATTGATTTAGAATTTAAATGTTTGACATTAAACAATAATGTGATTTAAAATAGTTCACCGAAGCCTGCAAAATTATCATATAGTTTTATTGAATTTCTAATAATTTTAGTGGGGAAAAAAGTATGATTCTTTTTAAAAGCCAGAGTTGTTTGGTTTTGTTTTTAAACATGGCGCTAGGAATAGCACGAAACAAAACTGGTAAAGTCTTGACATGAGG